CAAGGTAACCGAAAGGTGAGAGTATTCTTCTTTTTCTTCTCCATCTTGTTGAGTGATTCAGGGACTATGTCAGCTGAAGCCAGGCATCTGTTACAATACTATTATGATGGTCTGTAATAGTATAGTCACTTTAGATTTATAGTGATTCTCGATATAAAATTGCTACTGTTATCGACTACTTTATATAAGAAAGTGCTTTCAGCAATGGCGTTCGAAAATTCTATGTTGTGCATTGCGGCAGTTAAAAAAAATGTTTAGTTCTTTCGTTAAAAACTTAAAGGAAGTTTAAGAGAGGGTCCATGAGAGCGTCGAGGATACGAGGCACTCAATAAAAATTTTGTTTTTGGTTTTTTTCTGCTCATACAGTGCATCAATGTCTAAAACCACCAACCTCAAAATTTTAGGTTCTAATACCTTTCTTTTGAAAAGTTAGCCAATGCCGACTTTTGGCTCTATCATATCTTTTTGGGGAAAAACAAGAAAAAAGGGTGTGTGGGTGTGGGTGTGGGTGTGAGTAAGGGTATAAATGATGAAAAGATTAACACGCACACCCACACCAACACCCACACCCACACCCACACCCACACCCACACTCACAATCACACCCACACCCACTCACACCCACACCCGCACCCACCCACACCACCACCCACACCCGCACCCGCACCCACACCCGCACCCGCACCCACACCCACAATCACACCCACACCCACACCCACACCCACCCACACCCACACCCACACCCACACCCACACCCACACCCACACCCACACTCACACCCTTCCTTTTCATAATGATAGTTTATATGTTAATTTTGATGTAATATAGTTGTTCATTGACCTGAATCATAGTCACTGTTAAAAGAATGATTTATCAAGATTCGAAGCTAAAAGATGATGTACTAAGGGTGTGAGTGTGCTGGTCCGTGTGTATGTGGATGCAGTGAGAACATAGACAACCACCTCTCATCACATCTACACCCACACCCAATTTCGCTTGTTGGATTTTAAATTTTGCTGTGAATATTGGATTATGTGTCGTTGCGAGGCTTATGGGACCCACACCCTCTGTTCGCCTTTTTTGTCCTCGCTTTCGCCCCGTTCTCCTCACTTTTGTCGCCTCCTATGTCTCCCCTTCCCCCTTTTCTACTCCCCTTTGTCACCCCCTTTTCTCCCCAGCTTTCTTCTCTGCTGTGACTTCAATGGTGGTTGTATTTGGCTTTATTTTTATGAGTATCGTGTCACACCACACCCCCACACACATAGATTTGATAATTCGGTCTTCTTGTTCATGGTGTTTTTATTGGGATCTCTCTGGACATTGTTGTTCAGCCATTGAATTCCAAATCGAATCTTTGTACTCGATGATTCTTATAATCGACGACAAACAGATTACCGTGTCGATCAAATGACAAACCGGTAGGACCATTTAGCTGGTTAGATTGTCCTCCTTCACCGTTTCTACCAACAATGACACTTCCCTGCATAGCTCCTTTGCGCCAACGCATGATTCGAGCATTTCCTCCATCAGCCACATAGATAGTCCCCAATTGATCGACAACGACTCCTTTAGGATATGACATTTCTTTGAAACCATTTCCTTTTCCATTACCTCCCGCCACGACAATACATTCTCTTGCACCTGGTACCCATTTCGTCACACAATGACTCCACCATTCAGACACGTACACTGAATGATCTCGATCAACGAATACATATGATGGGCCGCAAAGTTGATCGAGATCATATCCACGCCCATTGCCACCGGCAACCACCGTTCCTGAAGATTTTCCTCTTCGATATCGTGTCACTTCATGGGTTTTATAGTCACTGACATAGACAGATCCATTCTCGTCCATCGTCAAACCCTGACAATCGATGTCGAATATGATCGATTCTCCACTTTTCCCATTCTGACGAGGCCATCGAACCACTCTTCTATTCGATTTATCGCAGATGATGAGACTATCAGTGTTTTCTTCGACAATCACATCGGATGGGTTAGACAACTGATGAGCTTCACTTCCTTCTCGATTTCCACCGGCAACCACTTGACCCCTCGTCGCACCTGATTTCCATTTCATAATGCGATGATTCTCCCTATCAGCTACATAGACAGTTTGATCATCATCAACATACAAACCGCATGGATTCGAGAGTTGATTAAGTGCATAGCCTTGTCCATTTCCTCCAGCCACAGTGGTAGCATTTTGTTGCCATCGAGCTCTCGGATGAATGTCAATGGAGCTGGCACGTAATGGAACTAGGGAGAAAGAGAGAAGGATCGAATGATACAGCCCGAGTAATGAATGAGGGTTTTGAATGTAATCGGGGAAGAAACGATCTTCGTATGTTCGGAGAGATATGGCTTGATAGTGATTTGTGCGTGGGGTGAGGGTTAAGGAGTGCAAGCCCCGGATATATTAATATTCACGATCAGCTGCCTCTTTTGTGGAACTCACGTATATTTTTGAAGAAAATAGTGAGTGTAAGTTTAAGGGCGAGAGTTTTGCGGCTCCCCCTCCTCATTAGAGACATGCCCATTACAGACATACCCACCATTGCAGACTGGCCCTCATTACAGACATTAAGAACTAATTATTGATTAGAATAAAACAAAAAAAGTAAAAATAAAATGGAAAAAAACCAAAAAATAATAAAAATGCGGAAGTAAAAAAGGGGTGCCCAAAAAAATAATATTTTGAAAATACATAGGGTGATCAAAAAGTTCTCGGAGTTTATTGTATTTTATTCATGGGAATGAAATTTCCTCCGTTTTGTTGTATCATATTTTAGAGATGGTGGTGCTAATATTACATGGAAAATCTAATCATTTTAACTCTGTCGTAAGGTATCGTCTCGGAGTAAACAATAGGTATCAAATTGGTCTCGTTGCTTATTGTTGGATTTCATCAGATGTTTAGCTCTCAAAAATAGCTAAACAAAATTCTAGATCCTGACTGAATTTTGTCTGATACTACTAATGGCTAATGGGCTGCGATGAACCTTTTGCGACATCGAATTTAAACTATTATCGGAACTTGAGTCCATTGGTGAAAGTTGTCCTCCAAGCGGCATTATGGTTAAGGATCATCACAAGCAATAAGATATCCTAGCTCTTGATCAGATACAAGCCATCAGTTCTCGTCTATAATTCTTTATATAGTGACTAGCAATACTATCTATATTAGTGATACAAACCTAAATTTATTGTTAGTTAGCTTAGCCAACCATGAAGGTTGATAATGGTCTATGATCCCATCAGTTTCGTTCTGATTTTTTAAACAACATTCATGGCAGTGTCATTATCTGTTGTTAAATGACTAGAATCGAGTTATATGCCATAGAGGTATTTAGCGTTGACTAAGCTTTCAGACTCTTGGTGTTGGTTATGGATTTAAGATATCCTAGATAATCAGCATCTATAGCACTTTTGGTGGGCGCAATAACCAAGGAGACCAATTTGATACCTATTGTTTACTTCGAGACAACACCTAAAGAGTGAGTTAAAATGATGAGATTTTCTGTGTAATATTAGCACCACTACCTCTAATATATGGTATAATATAACGGAGGAAGTTTCATTCCCATGAATAAAATACAATAAATTCCGAGAACTTTTTGATCGCCCTATGTATAAAAATAAATGAGACAGCTTTTTGCTCTGGCGAACAATTATTTTTAAAAATAAATGGTCTGAGAAGTTTTACATTTTACGAATTTTTATAGGTTTATCGAGGCTAGAAGAATATACGTGAGTTCCAGGTTTTAGCCCCAAAGGGGCTGCCCTGAAAAGCTTTTTTACATTATCATTCTGAGAAACTGTCCCACTCTTCGAAATTCTACAAGATTCACTCATTGATTAGCGACCGCATATTTTGAAACCGTCGAAATCATTCGTCAACCTCTACTTTTCAACCAGCTGTCACTCAATAGTGTCGCAGAAAAAAAGAAGTATTTTCAAGGGGAAACTACTGGTTCAACTCAGATGAAACTCAGAATAAATCATTTTAAATGAGTGGTTTGTTTTTAAAAAAGAATTATTTTATTTTCAAGGTACAATCAAACTTGATATTTTTATTCAATTACTATTTACGATTTTGCTAATTTATTCAACTGAGGTAAAAGAAGGTATTCTATTATACAGTTGTTGAATATTATTTTTGCACCTAGCAATATAGGATATATTTCTTACTGTTAAATTAAGTTAGAAAAAATGCGATTTGATTAAAAGCGACAGATTCTGACGAATAGTTTTTCTTTCGTCTTTTTCCAAATTAAAATGAAACAGAAAGAAAATTCAAGCTATGTCCTGCATCTAGCTGACATAAAATTATTGAAAATAATTTTGTTGTCTTTCTCTTTTATTGTTCTTTAGATCGATTATTTTCATCTGAACATTACTTGACTGTAAATATGGACGGCACGAAGAGCCCAGAACAGGAGGGACCTTTTTCAAGAATGAGTGAATAGTGTAAATAAACGTAAAAATACCTGAAAGCAGTCGAAATCAGGAAAAAAACGTAACGTCAAGTTTCTACCACATTAAGAAAATCACAAAAGATTAACGATTTCCATTGATTTTTATAAAAAAATTAAACGTTTAGGTAATTTTAAAAAGTCGCACAGTAGTATTAGCTCTTTGCTGGGCAGCGAAAACCCTAATGATACAAAATATAGAAATATGACATGTGATTCGCTCACGCTGCTTCAAAAAAATGAAGAAAATGACTGTCTTATGATGATACGATTAGGGATGCAACGATGACTGTGATTCACCGCTATATCGTCACCGTTTCACCGGTCCACTACGATAACCGTAGGTACGGTTACCGGTCTACTACGATAACCGTAGGTACGGTTACTGGTCCCCTACGATAACCGTGGGTACGGTTACCGATCCACTATGATGGCCATAGATACGGTTACCAGTCTACTACGATAACCGCACCTACAGTTACCGGTCCACTACGATAATCGGTTTTCACCGGCATTTCACGAAGCAACGGATTTTCTGAGAAAATGACGATATTTCCTCGACTGTAGGGAGGGTCATATGAAAAAAAATAGATTGTGTGTCTGTGTGTCTGCATCGGGGTCAAAAGAACATCAGGGTGAAAAAAACATCCATTTAAAGTTCTTTCCTCTGAACGTTGACGAAAGTAAATCGGGGTCGGGGAATCCGAATCTGAAGTTAGTTTTTTCAAAATTTTGAATTGAATTTTTTGGATCAAGGAAAGGGTTTTTTGAGAAAATAACGATATTTTATAAAGGTTGACGAAAGTAAATCGGGGTCACGGAATCCGAATCTGAAGTTAGTTTTTCAAAATTTTGAATTGAATTTTTGGGTGAAGGAAGGGGCTTTTTGAGAAAATGACGATATTCTGTAAAGGTTGACGAAAGTAAATCGGGGTCGGGGAATCCGAACCTGAAGTCAGTTTCTTAAAATTTTGAATCGGGTTTTTAGGGTCAAGAAAAGGGTTTTTTGAGAAAATAACGATATTTTATAAAGGTTGACGAAAGCAAATCCAGGTCGGAGAACCCGAATCTCAAGTCAGCTGTTCAAAAACTCAAGTAGTTTTTTGTATGAGACAAATCATACTGTTTTATCTGAATTATTGTCTAAGGAAAAAGTCAATTTTTTTAAAGCAAAAGGCATTTGAAACAATGGGAACCCGAAATATGGACGATCCTTCTGCGTATTTCGAGTTTGTAATTGCTGTTTAGTTTCGGTAGCCTCTTCATAATATCGTTGTAGACATGAATCAGAGTGTGATCTAATGGGTTGAGTGTTTCAGTAAATCGTAGTGTGATGAAACAGTGTTTACAAACCATTGGCACTCAGTGTAATGTGTGCAACATTGTGGAATTCCTGTTTATTCATAGCGGTTTGTGAGTTAAGTGGCCTTTTTTAGTGCACTCTGCTTAAGTCGAGAGAAGTAGCATAAAAAGAATCCTGTAAATGAAGTTACGGCCTGTAGGATAAATGCTGAATAACCAATGATTGTTTTAATGTATTCCAAAAATGCAACAAGGGACTATGAGCAAGGCCTGAGAGAAGTGTTGGCGAACTAGTGGTCGCTAAAACTGCGAACGTACTCTAATGTTGTTTAGCAAAAGATCTACGTGAAACCTGCATTTATCAAGAATAATCAACTAAGATTCTCCAAACCAGAAGCCCTAATAAAATTTTACCGTATTGGCTAAACCATTGGGTTAAAGAAATTAGGAATAAATAACAGGAAACTGTTGGTCCGGAGCTGCTCATGTGGAGTGATGGTGTTATAAATCTAATATTCTAAGTAAGAGCAATCTGGTATTTAACAGGATTTAAGTGAAAAGAACTATCTTATGGGAGAAGAAGATCAGAGGTTGCAGCAGCTAGTCGCGACTGGCGCCCCAGAGGGGCGCCGATGAGCGACTAGCTGGTGCACTCGATAGTTGCTTTTTGAAGGGCGTTAAATTAAAAAAGATTTAACAAGAGAATGTGAAGGGGTTAGATCTGATGAGTTTCAGAAGGGACTCAAAGTGATAAAAAAGGAGAAATATTTTTGTATGCATCCTAAGACCAGTTTTTCTCGAAGAATAGAATATAGTGACAATGTATGGATGGAAAACATCATTAAAACAGTTAAATTCACTCCATCGAAAACGAACTTGACAGGAAAAGAATTAGTTTTTCGGTTCGTATATTTTTTTGTGGATTTAGAATGTGCATTTGCTGAAGTAGATGATCAGCTAAAACAGTATGTCTTTTTCGGTTTTGCATAAATGTATGAAAAAGAAGAGAATAATTGGAAATTGTATGTTTGTTTTCGTCTTATGAAAATATTTATCAATTAAGTGAGTCATTTGTAGT